TGAGGGTTTAGGGGTTGAGGGTTTAGGGTTTAGGGTCTAGGGTCGAGGGCTTGCAAACCCGTAATATAGAGGCCTTAATGGTTACCTATACTTTTTGGGGGTTCCTTGCTATGATTGTAGTATAATGTACCCCAAAGCGCTGTTCTGACTATTAAGGCCCCTGTATGAACTCTAAACTCCCAAGTCCTAAAACCTAAACCCTGAACCCCTAAACCCTAAACCGTAAACCTTCACGCGGAGGCAGCTGATGCCTTGCGGATGCTTCGAGAAGTCGAAGTTGTTCCTGGCGACATTCATGGAGCTGACGAGGTGCATACAGGTTGAGTCAGGGGAGTTCAAGGTTTAGGGAGTAACGGGGTTTAGGGTTTAGGGTTTTAGGGTTTTAGTGTTGACGGTTTAGGGAGTTAGGGGTTTAGGGTTTAGGGGTTTTAGGTTTTGGGGTCTTATGCCCTCGATCAGTTTAGGCTTTCGGATTTGGGGTTTCGACAGCTGGTGAGAGGCCCTCATCTCAGTTAAGTTATCATAACTTGCAAGTGTAGCGGGGTTGATGGGGTTTTCTGATGTTTGGTTTCTAGCTTCAGGGTCTGGCTATCCAGGGCTGAGGGAGTTGTTTTGAGCTACCATAGCAGGAACATGTTAGTATGCTTCCCCAATCATACTATTTAGTCTTGTTGTTTAAGGTTCCTCTTTATAAGTGTACTATACAGGAGCCCAAAACGTTCTTCTAATTATTAGGGCCCCTATCTTAAGGCTCACAAGGACGAGCCCGTTTTGGGATCCAGATCAAAGGGCTTCGGGTCAGGTCTCTTCGGCGTTTCGGGCTTCATTTAGGGTTCAGGGTTTAGGGGTTCGTTTGGGGTTCAGTTTGTTTGGTGGGGTTCATAAGCCTGATGACGGCGACGATGGGTGGCTAGCGGAGAGGGGTGGTGGGGATTGGGGTGGAAGGTCGGGGTGGGGGTGTGTCCACCGGCGCTGAAATTCTATAGCGACAAGGGCTTTTCGACCAATGCATTGAAACTCCGAGCAACACTTCTATAGATGCAAGCAATACTGCGAGAGCTGTTCCACAAAGGGTGAAGTCTAACACGTCTATGTAGTAGTTCCGGTTCCCGGTTGAGAAGGTAAGCGCGAGTACTTCATCGGGAGATTGGGCTTTAGGGTATAGGGTTTAGGGTTTTGTCCAAGCAGATGATGGTCACAAGCTTGTTCTAGGGCGATGTTTCCGGGTATGCTGCTGAGCTCACAGTCGAGATTTTTTGCTTCAGATGTGTATAGGGTGTAGAGGCCATGGCAAGCAGCCCACGACATGATCCTCATTTTCATGCTTCCCAACCTTCTTTCTGCAGCCTTCAGGCCTTGCCGTCAAATCAAGAACTGCAAGCAAGGAGAGTAGATATCGTGGTGCTGGTGGATTTGCCGGTAGCATCGTCGTCGTTTCCACTCCGTCGGTGTTGTCGTCGTCCCAGGAATTGATGAAGCTTTTCGGGCTTCGCAGGTTTGTCATGGGTATATTTTTGAATACTACAGTATGTCATAGTACATCGTAGTATGGTGTAGCATGTTAAGAGTGTGAGGTCCGTGCCGCAGCTTTCCACACGCGCCTGGTGGATAGCTGTTCAAGCAAGTTCCGTGCCTCTGCTGCTTCGAGCATGGGTCGCATGCAGAAGGATAGAGTCGTCAGCAGCCTCATTCATGTGTACGGGGTTCCTTTAAATTGAGGGCCCTTCTGTTGGGGGGGGGGGGGTGCTTATGTCTCAC